AAAAAAAATTAGTATTTGAAGCATAGATGCCTGCATACATACATATATACATGTATACAAACATTCACACAGACTTTTATCTTTACATACATGAAGATAAGCTTTATGGTAATCAGAAAATCTGTATCAGTGAATGATTTGTCACTTTGTTACATTTTCCTTAAAATCTTGCATTCTACAATTTCTTTTTTGTCCGTAGGCAGTAAACGCACCCATCACAAAAATCACATAACTATTGTGATTCAATAGTTGTGCTTCTTAGGCGTTTGGTAAATGACCATCAAAAAGCCGTAAATTTACATACAAATGCAACAATATCTACTTAACCTGTTCACGGCAACAATGAATTTGTAGTGAGCCTATTCCAGTCACGATTTCTGAGAAAAGTGCACAGTTATTCTCTATCGCTATAATCCATATTGAAAATTAATGTTTTCATGTTTGTTATGTCTACTATAACACTAATTTAAAGAAATTGCAAGAAATTCAAAGCTCCCTATTTACTTCGCAGAAAGACAGTGTAGAAAAAGTTTGTAATCTGTCAAACTTCCGTTTTTGAGTTTAAGGAAATGTGCGACAATCTTCAGAAATAAATCTAGCACGGCTCCGTGAAGTACTTAGAGTACTGGATTTTACAACCTGCGCGTTGATGGTCTATTTAGCAAAATCGATTATGTTCGATGAGTAGTTTTGGGACAAAACGGCGCCTAGGCTTTGTGAATACCTTTTTTGCTTTAGCTTTAAGCTACGTTTTGTGCGTGTGTACAAACCTTGTCTCCTTCCTTCACTTTGAACTCCAGAATCTCACCGGGCATAGGTGCACCTATGGATCCACGTACTCCAGGTAAAGCTTTAGCTCGCGTTATAATTGTCTAAAAGAAATAGGCACTTAACTTAAAAAGAAAAAAGAATGGGTCATACCTTGGAAGCTTCTTTATCCTGAATGAATATACTCCTCATTTGACCATTCAGGTAGAAGAAGACTTCACGCTCTCCTTTTGAATTCAGTTTTCCTTCAGCAAGCAGCTGTATGGCAAGCGTCTTTCCTTCTTCGATCTCTACCTGAAAAAAATTCTTATCTATAAATCAAGCCACGAATTCCTTCCAAATAAAAGGTTCTCTACATTCGTTCTTCATCGCCTGCCTTCCAGCCCTCTGAATTGTAGTAGAACCTATTGCAATACTAATTTGGTGTACATTAGTAAAGTTATCCACTTGAGAATTCGACTAAGATTATTTGAAAGATTCCTCTGTTTGATTTTTAAGTACTGATAGATGAGCGTTGACTTTTTCTACACAGTTCTTATCATCCAGCATCCTTACGTCAAGCTCTTCGGCAATGTCTAATCCAGTGAGGAATATTCTCGTCGGTAGTTTATCGACTGGTCCATACTGCTGTCGGAATCGTTCAAATTCGTCGAAAACTGCTGGGTACATCGCATGCGACATTAGATCTTGATCTCTAGAAATATCGCAAATTACCAAACTGTTTGCCAAAAACATCTAAGCCAACCTCATTGGTCTTCCATGTTTCTCTTCCAAAGCTTTCTTTTCTTTTGCAAAGTCCATAGGTGGTATTTCTTCTCCAGCTCTTCCCTTCGCCTTGGGTTTTCCGCGCAAAACTTTAGTTCTTAGTGGTTCTGGGAAACCGTATGGGGGTTGACCAATGTTACCCTTGAACAAACGCATTTTCGGGAAATTGTTCGGTTTTTTT